CACAGTTCCAGGGCCAGACAACACCCCTGCACAGAACACTACCAGGGCTCATCATAAAAGTACTGTTTTAAAGCCTCCTTCAACCACCTAGCTCCATGTTGGGCTCTTGAATTAGCCCTTGTTCAAAGCAGCCAGCCTTAGTGGCTACTTTCCCCCTTTGCCTCTAGTATTATGCAGGACACAACAGGCAGCTCTAACCATTGGGATATTTTTCTCATGAGAACCAATCTAGAATCCTATCCAGGATCCTTTCAATCTACAAGAAAGCACATTCTGGACCTGCTGAATCGATAGCTGAATCTTGCTTGGATGCTGTTGTGGTGGCCAGTGTATGGCTTCAAGAGCCAGGGGAGCAATGGGTACAGCTGGATCTGCTAGAATCACTATTGCCTTTTCAGTATCACCAATAGTTCGCTAGTTGGGAAAGAATATCCTGTGTTTCTAAAGAAGCTAATGTCACAAGGGTACAGCTGGATCTGCTAGAATCACTATTGCCTTTTCAGTATCACCAATAGTTCACTGGTTGGGAAAGAATATCCTGTGTTCCTAAAGAAGCTAATGTCACAAACCCTTCCCTGAGCAACCCCTACTAATCTGCGTGAAGCACTCCTAGTCATCCTCCAGTGCTTGTGGAGCCATAAAAAATTAGCTCCTTCTTTTGATGTATTCTAAGATAAGGTGGGTTAGTACCCAAATGAAGATATGTATGCTATCATCCCTTGCAAATCAGGAACTCTGCAAATCCATCCACTGTATCTTGGACATTGGCAAGTCCTGCACAGCAAGGCTATGTCTATACAGCTTCCCTCTTCCACAAAGGCCAATGCAAATGAAGCGTGAATTAGCATATTGCCATGCTTCATTTGCATAATTAATTAGGAGCTGTTTTTGTCAAAGAGGTTTTTTGCGCAAGAGCCGTTCTTCCTGAAAAAGAGGCTACTTGACTGTGGTGCATCACATTTTATGTTAACACAGGCACTGCTGGTGAGCACGTGGAGTGGTCATGCAAGCAGCCAAGCACAAGTGCCCCCAAACGATATACAAAGTGTGTAACTTTTGTTGACCACAGTTTGTAGATTAGGCTTGGCCTGAACATAGACATGTGCATGCACTGGTCAAAGCAAGACAACTTGTATGTCAACTTGACTTCGTAGGCCTAAGTGGGCTCATTTTTAAAGGTGCTTGAGTACCCACTAGCTTCCATTGACTTCAATGAAAAGCATCTGGGAGCTAATCCAAAATTAGATCTCACAGTTCAAAAGTTAGAACTGCTGATTTAGGTATCCATATGTTTAAAAGTTGGCCATAATGCCTGCAGAGACCAGAAGTGGGCATAATATCTTCAGAGGCAGTAGAGAAGCATGCTGTAACACCTGTAGTGCAGGGGTATTATATGCTTGCCCCATCACATGCCATAGTCCTCTCTGGCAATTGCATATTGTGTAAATGTTACATGATGTTTTTTCTCTGCAATATGTAATGAAACCACTTAGCACCAAAGACTTCCCCATCTATTTTTCATAGGCTGTGTATTTGGTAGCAAAAATACATACAACTATTGAAGTCATTTTTCTTTCAAATCCTATTTGTTGCCATGTCTTTTTGATATTTATATCTGTGTATAGGGTTGCCAGATGGTTTCAACAAAAATACCGGACACACTTGACATGACATCACAATCTACATTACATCTTATTTAGAAAATACCGGACATTTATATTTTCTCAATTTGTTTCCCTAACAGAAAGCTCAAGTACTGGACTGTTCGGTTCAAAATCGGACACCAGGCAACCCTATCTAAGTAGGAAACAAGAACCATTTGAAATAATAAATTATATATTTATTTACAGGCATAGGATCATTACAATAATGGTCAGCTTGTGGGAGCATGTTGACTACTAATCTGGGCCTAAGGAACATGCAAATAGAATGCTGGGTTTTTTTTGTTTGCTTTATTTATCCCCAGAGAAGAAAAACAAGGATGAGTGAAACCCCTTGAGTATGAACAAAACTCCCATTGACTATGGTAGACCTAGAATTATACCCCATGTTGTTGTTAATAAATAATATATGTTTGGTCGTTCCCATATTTCTTCTAAAGAAAAACATGTCTTGGATTTCCCAATGTTGGCTAGTGAAGATGATTCCTATTCATCTGAGTGTTCTCTGTTGTGCTGATGACAGACTAAGCCTTGATTTACCACAGTACTTTATATCTCTTGTTTTAATATGAACATTCAAAATGTCCTTCAAGGATCTGAAAATGCCAAGCTGTTGCTCCTTTTTAATCCACAGTAAGAAAAATGTTCAAAAATACTGGCTGCTGTATTAATGGTTGGTGTCAAAACTGGTACTATACAAGAGATCTGCCTCTGACCTTTCACTCTCTGGGGCTATGTCTACACTCTGCCATTTCTAGAGAGCACGTCTGCCCTTCTGCTTTTTTTTTGCGGAAGAGCAGACGCACTCTTTTGGAAGCCCTGTCTTCCTCGTCCCGCCAGGAAGAAGTGCTCTTCCAAAAGAGGAGGCTTTTCTGAAATTTGGCCAGGTGTAGATAGGCCAAATTTCAGAAAAGTCTCTGAGTGCAATTTGTGTACCTTTTTCCAATAGATCATTGTAGTATAGACATAGCCTGGACTTTGTGATTAGTATTTCTCACTTACATCTAAGACACCTGGTTCCTTCCTCTAGAGCTAGTCCAAAAAAGGATGGAAGGAATATCCACAGAAATTTTGGTAAACTGAAAAACATTTTTATTGTGTTCTATCTTGTCTGTTCTTTGTTTCCATTAAAATAAATCTGTGAAAAACTTGATTTCCGTATGTAAAACAAATAAATAAGAAAGCAAAAAATCTTCCACAGAACAATCAAGAAGTTGGTGGAGTCTCCCTCCCCTTGTTTATTGTTGTAATATGCCTGAAAAGTGGCTTGCCTTGAGCATGAGAAAAGGAGTGTTTATCACAGAAAGGTCATAAGTGAATCTTTGGGGATATTAAGCACCACAGAGGATTTCAGAGGATTGAAACAGAAATGTTCATGTTAATCCTGACCTTTCATTTTGTAATATTCATTATTTATAAATAATTTTCCATATTCTGCATTTAACATCCTCCCAGCCTACCTATGGTGGTTACTAAAAAGCAAAAGGAGACATTGGCAAAGATTGTTGTTGAGATGATACTTCATATATATGCAGGGCACTGTCTAATACTCGGGGACTGGCCAATTTTCATTGGTCAGAAGATTGCTAGAGAAAGTAGCTGTTCTTGGAGGAAGGAGGTTTCTGATTACTAGAGGGTATGGCCACTTTGGACCTCCTGACTGCAGTAAATGTGACTGGACTTGCCTACACTCTCTGGTGGGTCCGAGCTCTTCTGGCAGGCCAGGTACCAATGTGGAGAGGCAGTGTTCATTGGATGGTCATGCCTCAGTGTTGAGGAAATGGCATCTTACTGCATAAGAGGGTGAGTAGCTGAGAGAAAGGGGGCAGGCAAGGAATAAATTGTTTAGGGAGTAGAGGATCTTGACGAATAAGGTGAATGAAAAAGGAGAAGGCCCTCCACGTGCATACATGAAGACTGATACTTCTTAGGGTCAGAAGCTTCCTGAAAGCATGATTTCTTATTCTGTAGCTTTGTAGAGCTTTTGCCTACTGCTTCTAGGCTATGAACAATTAATATGCTGAGTGGGCTTCCTAGGGAATATCCTTGCTTTCAGTATTTTAAGAAAAGGAACACTTTCTCTGCTGCTAATGAAACAATTGTGGGCAGCTTGATGTGGAGGCCATTAAATCAAAAGGTGTAAGAGCTGTTCCAGTGTTCTCTTGGTGGATTATATGTGACCAGGCTTCTCATGGTTTAAGAATGTGTTTGTTATTCAAAATTATTCAGTGAATGCTCATATAAAAATATCTTCTGCCTTGGAGATTACTCGTAATCTAGTTCCTGCAACTGTCGTTTCATGTATTGATTATTCTTAATCCATTGTTCACCTTGTATAAGTGTTATATAAGTCACACATTATCATCTCTGATCTCCTGCACTGGTGAGTCCCAAATAGTGTGACCAGACATCCTGATATTAAGGGCTTTGCCTTATATAAGCAACTCAAAAATCAAAGCATCTTGATTTTTCACACTTACTATCTGTTCATTCTACTCCCAAATCCAGAAGAGCTTTCCAGAAAGCTGGATATGATCATTTCCAAAGTGCAAACACATAATTTAGTACAAGTATTTGTAATACTGTCTCTTAGTGAAGTCATTGTGAATAAAAATTGGCTTGAGTGAATGTTCATAGATCTTGAATAAGAGAGACAGTGAATTTGTGACTTTCATTTGAGCAGAAGTCCATAAATCCTCTTTTTGTGCTATTTGTTTGGCTATAGTTCAGATTAATCTGAAATATCCAGATTTCAGAGAAATTGTTGATAGAAATCAGGCAAAGTATACTTCCTTGCAGTTATAGCAAAAGTTAGCCAAATCAGGAACATGAGATCTTTCCTGGGAATTGTTCAAGTAACAAAAACAGTACAGTCCCTGGTGATTATCGCGTTTGTGTATATAGTTGTCCACTAGGTGTCTCTGTTTCTCCGCAGAAAGGAAAAGTAGGTGGGTTATAAAAGACATGCTTCTCTTGGGTACTTACTCTTTCCTTTTTTCTTCTAAACCTCTGGTATGGTAATACTACCAGAGAAACATGCTCCTTAGAACAAAAGACATGGCTTTACACCAGTGGTTAAACCAGGGGCAAAGCAATAAAACACCCATTATTTCAGACAGAGAAGCTAAGATAGACCTTCAATATAGGGAATTAGTAGTACAGCATCAATGGGATATTAAAGCTGACAGAGACTTTATAGAATGGTAAAAAAGAGAGCCATTAACATGCTTTGGAAAAGAGCATTTTCCCTATCCAGCATTCACTACTGAGGCTTTAATTTTACAGCTTTTTTGAAAGTGATGTATTGCTTCTTTCAAATATCTTTTCATTTACTTCTAGGGGAAGCAGTAGATTTTGCAGTTCGGCAGGCTATGTCTGAAGCCCATGGAGGAAGACCTAATGCATCAAAGATAGCAGTGATCATTGTAGCAGAGAAATCAGACGATCCAGTGGATACGGCTGCATATTCTGCAAGCATGCACAGTAAATTTTATCACTTTGCCACTATTTTTACTGATTTGCTTAATTTTTTAAATAATAAGCTAGGGTGGAGACAGAGTGAAGAAATCTAAACATTAGCATGATGATCTGAGTCCACTGATTCTGTGTAGATGCTTACTAGTTGATAGAAATGAATGTCTTAACAGACCTCCCTCGCCCTCCAGATCCAGATGCCTCCAACCTTTGGGGACCATCAAGTACAGACCTGTTATTTGAAAGCTTAGCAAACATGGGCCTCACTTCATTTACAGCTTTTCTCTCCCTCAGTGCCATTGTGGATTCAACTGGATTATAGTGATGAGATTTAAATGTCATAAATTTAGATTCCTTTATACTGAGACAGTTCTTGTAAGATTCATAAACAGAGTAAGACTCAATAAGTCAAATTTTGCCATGACTTATACACCCTGTAAACGTATCAGTATATGTTCAATGGTGCTTTATAAATTCTGTGACAATAAGCATTTCCCCTCTTTGAGTTTCCTCACTTGTGAAATGGAAATAACAATGGAAAATTATTTTGTAATCTGCTGATGTAAAACATAATCTAAACACTCAGTGTTATTGTTTTTAATTACACGAGTTTAAACAAAAGAAAACAGCACATCCAATTTTCAAAGCTTTACGTTTTTTTAACTTAATTTCTGATTGTCTCCAGCTTCTTCATGTTGACCTTGCAATGATGGTTGTAATTATAAATCTCATCATAATTATTGCATTGATTTAAAACATAGTAATACATGTACTGAATTGCTTGCAGACTATAGGAAGGGAATAATATGAATATTACTTGAAAACTAATTGTTAGAATCATTTCTTAATGGTACTCAAAGATGCAAATCGAAACAAAGGAGGCTCCTTTCTTGTGTGTTATACTTTTAAAACCTGCTTTCCATTTCCTAGAGGTATCATTGCTCCCAATTGGAGTTGGTGATAGATATGATGAAGAGCAACTGAAGAGTTTAACTGGGCGATCTGCTACTGACAGGATCATTAAGCTAAGAACATTTGAAGACCTTCCCATCATGGTCACATTGGATGATGCATTTATCAACAAATTGTGCATGGGTAAGTTTCATATAGTTTTATAACTTGAACCACAAAAACAACCACCAGAAAGAATTCTATACTTTGTACAATATACATATTTTTTTTACTCCTTTCCTTACCTTACTCTTTTGTTAATTTCAAACAAAAGCCAATTAATTTTCTCATTTCCACATGTCAACCAATGATACCCTAGATGGTACTTAATTGCTCTTCTACTTGAGTTCTCATCTGCACAGCCAGAGGCACTTAGTATGGTGTCTAACTCCAAATGTTTGCAATACAGTACTAATTACTATTCTACTTTGTCAGTGTTCAGAAAGCATTTTTAACTTTAGCACTGTCTCTTTGTCAATACACAGGGGCTACGTTTACACTGGTCCCTTTTCCGGAAGGGGCATGTTAATTTCAGCGATCGTAATAGGGAAATCCGCGGGGGATTTAAACATCCCCCGCGGCATTTAAATAAAAATGTCTGCCGCTTTTTTCCGGCTTTTAGAAAAGCCGGAAAAGAGCGTCTACACTGGCCCCGATCCTCCGGAAAAAGCGTAGCATTGATGACTCTCCATGAGATATTACTTCCTTAATGAAAAAAAATAGCCTAATCATGGTGTTAAAGGCCAGTTTGTTAGTGGGATGCCAGGTTTAGGGTGAGATGTAAAAACCAAAGGTCTGACCACTTGGGGCCATTGAAGACCGTTTTTCGTTCTTAGCTGTGATCTAATGATCAAATCTGACTTACACATTCCGCCTGATTAAATTCCCCTGTATTTTCAAGTCTTGATTTCATTCATGTCACTTTGTATCTTCAACTCCGGTTGCACCTCACCATCACAGATGGTGCTATGTTAAAGATCTTCTGTGTTATTGTCCTAGAAATGGCAATATGAAGACCTTATATATTGGTGGCCACTCTTGAAAACTCTCCAAATTCAGTAGACAAGATTACCTCAATACTTGTACTATTCCCTATGGGTAAAATCCTGGCCCCATCAAAGTCAATGGGAGTTTTGACATTTACTTCACTGAGACCAGGATACTACCATGTGCATTTTCAGTACAGGAAAATTTCATATTATGCCGAGGTAACATGGGTGACTTTGGGCAAGTTACTAACCCTTCCTCCAGCTCCATTTGCCCTTTTTAAAATGGCAAAAATGACACTGACCTCCTGTAAAGAGTGCTGCAAGAATCATAGATGAAATGCACCATGTAAAGCTAGGTAGAAGTACTATTATAAGACAAAATTGTCATACTAAGGGCATCCTGTGCGTGGGGGTGTATGTGCACATCATATGCATGTGTGTACACTGGGGAAGTTAAGTAGCGGTTGATTAGCGAATCGAGTTGTCGATGGAATTTCCATCAACTACTCGATAGTCGATAATGGGGGGTACTCACTTCCCCCTCTGCGGCTCTGCAGTTTAAATGTGGTAGCAGCCGGGCATGCAGGCAGCCTGGTTCTTACAACATTTAAATTGCATAGCTGCAGTGGGGTTAGCTCCCAGGGATGGTGTGAGCCAGGACTAAGCAGTCCCAGCTCACACCAGTTCTGGGACCGTTGCAGCTCTGCCTCCCCTGCCCCGCCCCCCCTCCGCACTGCGGAGACAGTGCAGGTGGAACTGACTTTTAAGCTGGCTCCCCCCAGCACCAACTCCTACTTTCCCCCCACCTTGCTGCCTCTGGCAACTCAACTATCTGATAAAACTAAGCTTATCAGATAGTCGACTACTCGAGTAGTTGCTTACATCTCTAGTATACACATCCTCTTTGCATTTTTAACCATTTGATTGCTTTAAAATTGTTTTAATTAGAACAGTTAGGTCTGTATTAATGTTCCTCTAAACAGATAATAGCACATTTTAGAGGAAAGTAGATTTCAGCAGATGTCCTACACAATGTCCTAAGCAGACCAGACAACAAAGCAGCTGGCTTTCCTTAGGGCTTGTGTATACTATGGGCATTATAGAGGCATAGTTATAACAACACCACCATATAGACCAGACTACATTGTCACAAGGGATTTTTCCATCCCTGTAGGAACTCTACTTCATTATCTAGGCGGATGGAAGCATTTTTTCATTGACCTTGCAGCTCCTACGCCAGGTATTAGGTCAGTATATGTAGGGAACTCAGGAGTGTGGATTTTTCACACTCTTTGAGTGCCATAGCTATGTTGACTTATGTTTTAAATGTAGTCTAGGCCTTAGTTTCAGAGAATTAAACAGGCTTCTTTAATGACTGTCTCCCTATGAACAGGAGCAGGTAGCTACCTGGTCTGATATCTCTCACTATGTGGAGCCTCTGCCTCTAGCAAGAGGACATGGCAGGGATCATTGATGCAGCTAGCCATGTTCATATACTAATGTTACAAAGATCAGAACTTCTGCACCTATGGCTTCTATGCAGAAATCGAATTCCACATACCTGTGGGGCCTAATTATACTGCCCTAACACACCTAGAATAATGCCATGTTGAGTCAGTAGTCCCACTGATGTCAATGAAAGGACTGCCTTTGTGGGGACTCAATAAGAGGAGGCAGAACCATGCCTTTTAAGAATGAAGATTCAATAACATACATTTTTCTGTGTAGGTTTGTGTGCTGAGGATTATCTGTCCACAAAGATTTCAGATAATTAAAAATGAGCAATAAACCAAATAAGGACTATGTTCAGGAACAAAACCAGAAAAAATTTCTCTGTAAATCATAGTTCATTTAATAGAATCATAGAATCATAGAGCTGGAGGAGACCACAGGAGGTCATCAAGTCCAGCCCCCAGCCCAAGGCAGGACCAATCCCATTTAAATCAACCCAGCCAGGGCTTTGTCAAGATGGGACTTAAAAACCTCTAGGGAAGGCGATTCCACCATCTCTCTAGGTAACCCATTCCAGTGCTTCACCACCCTCCTAGTGAAATAGTGTTTCCTAATATCCAACCTAGACCTCTCCCACTGTAACTTGAGACCATTGCTCCTTGTTCTGCCATCCATCACTACTGTGAACAACCTCTCTGCATTCTCTTTGGAACCTCCCTTCAGGAAGTTGAAGGCTGCTATCAGATCCCCCCTCACTCTTCTCTTCTGCAGACTAAACAAACCCAAATCCCTCAGTCTCTCCTCATGGGTCTTGCTCTCCAGCCCCCTAATCATTTTGGTCGCCCTCCACTGGACCCTCTCCAAAGTGTCCACATCCTTTCTATAGTGGGGGGCCCAGAACTGGATACAATACTCCAGATGCGGCCTCACCAGAGCTGAATAAAGGGGAATAATCACTTTTATAGATCTGCTGGCAATGCTCCTCCTAATGCAACCTAATATGACAATAGCGCAGAGCCAGCCCAACGCACAGGCCAACCGGGCGACCACCCGGGGCAGCCCATTGTAGAGGGCACCACGTGGGGCTGTTGGGCCGGGCGGGGGCGGCAATGCGCATGCTCCGCGCACCTGGAGCAGGGCTGCGCATGCGTCTCACTCCCGGGGGCAGCGCCACGCTCCCGGAGCCCAGAGTGCACAAATGGCTCGGGCCGGCCCTATATTAGCCTTCTTGGCTACAAGGGCACACTGTTGACTCATATTCAGCTTCTCATCCACTGTAATCCCCAGGTCCTTTTCTGCAGAACTGCTACTTAGCCAATCGGTCCCCAGCCTGTAACAATGCTTGGGATTCTTCTGTCCCAAGTGTAGGACTTGACACTTGTCCTTGTTGAACCTCATCAGATTTCTTCTGGTCCAATCCTCTAATCTGTTTAGGTCACTCTGGACCCTATCCCTACCCTCTAGCCTATCTACCTCTCCCCCAGCTTAGTGTCATCGGCAAACTTGCTGAGGGTGCAATCCATCCACTCATCCAGGTCATTCATAAAAATGTTGAACAAAACCGTTCCTAGAACAGAACTTTGGGGCACTCCACTAGAAATCGACCTTTAACCTGACATCGAGCCATTGATCACTACCCGATGGGCCTGACAGTCTAGCCAGCTTTCTATCCATCTTACTGTCCATTTATCCAATCCATACTCCCTTAACTTGCTGGCAAGAATATTGTGGGGGACCGTATCAAAAGCCTTGCTAAAGTCAAGGTATATCACATCCACTGACTTCCCCACATCCACAGAGCCAGTTACCTCATCATAGAAGCTAATCAGATTGATCAGGCATGACTTGCCCTTTGTGAATCCATGTTGACTATTCCTGATCACTTTCCCCTCTTCCAAGTGCCTCAAAATGGGTTCCTTGAGAATCCTCTCCATGATTTTTCCGGGGACTGATGTTAGGCTGACTGGTCTGTAGTTCCCTGGAGTGTCCTCCTTCACTTTTTAAAAGATAGGCACAGCATTTGCCTTTTTCCAAGAATCAGGGATCTCTCCCAATTTCCATGAGTTTTCAAAGATAATGGCCAAAGGCTCAGCAATGACATTTTCCAGCTCCCTCAGTACCCTTGGATGTATTAAATCTGGACCCATGGATTTGTGTATGTCTAGCTTTTCTAAATAGTTCCTAACTTGTTCTTTCCTCACCAAGGGCTGTCCACGTCCTCCCCCTACTGTGTTGTCTAGTGCATTAATCTGGGAGCTGACCTTGTCCGTGAAGATAGAGGCAAAGAAAGCATTGAGTACTTCAGCTTTTCCCACATAATCTGTCACTAGGTTACCTCCCTCATCCAGTAAGGGCCCCACACTCTCTCTGATCACCCTCTTATTGCTAACATGCCTGTAGAAACCTTTCTTGTTATCCTTCACATCCCTTGCTAGCTGCAATTCCAATTGTGCTTTCGTCTTCCTGATAACTCCCCTGCATTCTCAAGCAATATATTTATACTCCTCCCTAGTCATCTGTCCAAGTTTCCTCTTCTTATAAGCTTCCTTTTTGTGTTTAAGCTCACCAAGGATTTCCCCTGTAAGCTAATCTGGTCGCCTACCATATTTGCTTTTCTTGCTGTACATCGGGATGTTTTTTTCCTGTGCCTTCAATAAGGCTTCTTTAAAATACTGCCAGCTCTCCTGGACTCCTTTCCCCATCATGCAAGCATCCCAGGGAATCCTGCCCATCAGTTCTCTGAGGGAGTCAAAGTCTGTTTTTCTGAAGTCCAGGGTGTGTATTTTGCTACTCTCCTTTCTTCCTTTGGTCAGGATCCTGAAATCCACCATCTCATGATCACTGCCTCCCAGGTTGTCACCCACCTCTTCTAGTTCCTACCTGTTTGTGAGCAGCAGGTCAATACATTTATTTGTATATATTTTGGGACAGTCTTAGGAACTACTTTTGTGTCTGGGCAATAGTTTACAGCTATTGCCCTTAAGTCAGTCACCATATAAGACCATATTGTTGTTGTTTGTTGATTTGTATTGTACCATAAGTACACCCATCATAGACCAGGCCCCAGTTGTGCTAGGTCCTGCATAAACATTTACCAGTTTTTCCCTTGCTGAATAGTTCCTCCCTGCGTGAGAAGTTTCTTTGAAATGAATGGGATAGTTGATTTCTTTGAAATGATAGATAAGCCAAATATATGTCTTTTCCTCTTTCAGAGCCCATCAAAGAATGTATAGATGAGGATGGAAATAAAAAGCAAGTAAGTGTGGGGTTTTTTTGTATCCTCCATTTTGCCTTCAAGTAAAATATTGTAGAGCATCTGCACTGGAACGTGAATGTTGGTGTATGTGTTCTGCCACAGAAAGGCTGGAACACTATTCTTCTTCAATAAAGACCACGGAGAATGCAAATGCTAGCTTACTAAATAGAAAATGGGAGTGTATAGCACAATTCTGCCTGATGGCACTTGATCCTGTAGCGTGCTGAGCACTCTTGGAGGAGGTGCATGCAGAGCCAAAGCACTAGCATTTTGGGTTCGTCTTCACTGACAAAAAAAGTGTGTCTTTAATTTACTGTGAAAATGTAAAGGAGATGAGGCAATTTAGTTTTGTCATTTTACACTAGGTGAGGTCAACCCCAGATGGGGGAGCATAGCAGTGACTGTACCCTATACTGTAAACACTACTGTCTACATGGAAACTCATGTGTATTTGTTATTTTGCTGTTAAGAGGGACTTTGTAAAACAAAGTCAGCAAACCCTAAGTATTTGTGTGGAGAGGTTTCTGATAAGCCATGTGTTCTCTGGTAGGGGCCAAGCTGGTCTATTTTAGTAAATTAGGTCGGCATAACTACATTGCTCAGGTGTGGGGAAAAATTCGTGCCCCAGAGTGCCATAGTTAAGCCAACATTAGTCTCTTCATAGAGAGCATTAGGTTTCTTCCACTTACTTTGATAATACAGGTTGAACCTCCTAAATCCGGGACTATCTGGTCTGGTAACATTTGTGGTCCGGCAGCACCATGGATGTTGCTAGACCAGAGAGTCCTAGAGGCCAGTAGTGGGAGCCAGCTGGGAGAATGGGGGGCTGGGGAGTTTCATCTGGGCCAACAGTGGCTAGGCTGGAGAACCCCAATAACAGCAGGTCCAGGTGGGGACTCCTCAGATGCAGTGGGGCCAGCCCAGCGGCCCTAGCTGGGGAACCTCAGGACCACCCTCCCCAGCAGCAGGGCCGGACTAGGGGTCCTGGTCAGGAAATCCCAGGAAACCTCTGGTGGCAGCGTTGGCAGGGCAGGGAGCACTAGCTTTGGGAGCCCCAGGGAGAGGAGCCAACAGTGGGGTAACTAGCAGAGGAACATTGACCTCTCCTGGTCTGGCAAACTCCCTGGTCCCGGACCACCTAGGTCCCAAGGGTGGGCCTGGGAAATCCAACCTGTACCTCTCAGAGAGGTGAGTTACCTACACTGATGGGAGAACTGTTCATGACTGCATAGGTGGTGTATATACTGAAGCATTATGCTAGTGCAGCTATGCCACCATAGTGTTTTAAGAGTAGACAAACCCCAACTGTAGACTGCATCCTGGGGTGCACCTTGACCAGCTAATGTATTGAAACTATAATTGCCTGATCTATGCTAGTTAATACATTAAAATACACCTGTTTTTCCTAGTGTACCTTAGAGCAGTGATTCCCAACCAGTGGTTCGCGGACTATTGCCAGTCTGTGAACCCCTGGCTGCCAGGCTGCGGCAACTGCCAGAGCTGGAGCTGTCTGTTCATCGTGGCTCAGCTTCGGCAACCATGGTGGCAGGAGGAGGCAGAGCAGGAGGCACCTCCCTTGCTTCTCCCCCCTCCCACCCTGGTAAGACGGTGGCCCGGCCAGGGCTCTGCACTCCTCACCCCCCACCTATACCCTATGGCAAGAAGATGTTGGCATAGGCTGCAGAGGTGAGAAGTTAAAGGGTCAAAGGATGTTAGGCACTAGAGAGCAAGGGGCTGGGTTGGGGCTAAGTGGACAGGCAACATTTTATTTGCATATGCATTATTTACACAATGAATATGCAAATAAAATGTTACTGGTCCACCAAAAGTTTGTGAATGGGTTTGCCCATCTGCGGTATAAAAAATGTTGGGAACCACTGCCTTAGCGGCCGTAGAGATTCAGGATGTAGCCAGAGCATAAATACTTTTCGACTCTGTCTAGACTCAGGAGAAGGTGTGGTTTTTTTTTTAAAGCAATGCTGCCTCACAATCTGGAGTCCTAGAAGCCAACATAACAAATGGTTAAAATGCATCTAGAGGAGGAGCCATGTGGACATGTGGATCCAGTAGATATAGTGTACTTAGATTTCCAGAAAGCCTTTGACAAGGTCCCTCACCAAAGGCTCTTACGTAAATTAAGTTGTCATGGGATAATAGGGAAGATCCTTGCATGGACTGAGAACTAGTTAAAAGACAGGAAACAAAGGATAGGAATAAATGGTAAATTTTCAGAATGGAGAGGGGTAACTAGTGGTGTCCCCCAAGGGTCAGTCCTAGGACCAATCCTATTCAATTTATTCATAAATGATCTGGAGAAAGGGGGTAAACAGTGATGTGGCAAAGTTTGCAGATGATACTAAACTGCTCAAGGTAGTTGAGACCAAAGCAGACTGTGAAGAACTTCAAAAAGATCTCACCAAACTAAGTGACTGGGCAACAAAATGGCAAATGAAATTTAATGTGGATAAATGTAAAGTAATGCACATTGGGAAAAATAATCCCAACTATACATATAATATAATGGGGGCTAATTGAGCTACAAATAATCAGGAAAGAGATCTTGGAATCATCATGGATAGTTCTCTGAAGACGTTCATGCAATGTGCAAAGGCTGTCAAAAAAGCAAACAGAATGTTAGGAATCATTAAAATAGGGATAGAAACTAAGACGGAAAATATCTTTTTGCCCTTATATAAATCCATGGTACGCCCACATCTTGAATACTGCGTACAGATGTGGTCTCCTCATCTCAAAAAAGATATACTGGCATTAGAAAGGGTTCAGAAAAGGGCAACTAAAATGATTAGGGGTTTGGAACGGATCCCATATGAGGAGAGATTAAAGAGACTGGGACTTTTCAGCTTGGAATAAAATCATGAGTGGTGTGGAGAAAGTGAATAAGGAAAAGTTATTTACTTGTTTCCATAATATAAGAACTTAGAGGCCACCAAATGAAATTAATGGGCAGCAGGTTTAAAACAAATATAAGGAAGTTCTTCTTATACAGCGCATAGTCAATCTGTGGAACTCCTTGCCTGAGGAGACTGTGAAGGCTAGGACTATAACAGGGTTTAAAAGAGAACTAAATAAATTCATGGAGGTTAAGTCCATAATTGGCTATTTGCCAGTATGGGTAAGGAATGGTGTCCCTAGCCTCTGTTTGTCAGAGGGTGGAGATGGATGGCAGGAGAGAGATCACTTGATCATTACCTGTTCAAGTCATTCCCTCTGGGACACCTGGCATTGGCCACTGTCGGCAGACAGGGTAGTGGGCTGGATGGACCTTTGGTCTGACTGAGTATGGCCGTTCTTATGTAAGGGTACGTCTAGGCTACAGGCTTTTGTCGACAGAGGCTCTGTCAACAAAGAGCATCTAGACTACAACCAATTCTGTCGACAAAGCAAGCCGCTTTTTCGACAGAGAGTCTAGATGCTCTCTTTTGAAAAAGCACAGTGTAGATGCGATAGCGCCTTTTGTCGACAGAACTCTGTCGACAAAAGGCGTTATTCCTCATAGAATGAGGTTTACCATTGTCGATAAAACTTACTGTCGACAGAACTTGGTGGTAGTGTAGACGCAGATATAGTTTTGTCGACAAAAGTCCACTTTTGTTGACAAAACCCTGTAGTCTAGACACACCCTAAGTGGGGTTAACTGTCTCAAAGTAAAAATAATCATTATTATTCCTAGTCCAAACAAAGCCTAAATGTAAACCAGTTAATAATATAAATGATGAGCAGAGTTTTCAGAAGGGCAGCTTCCAATTCGTCCAATTGTAATTTGCACATGCTTTTTTCATATCCATATTTGAAACCTCCACATGTGTAACTCTAGCTATCCAGCCACAGATACAAATCATGCAGTTAGAAGCTCAAACAGACCTGCCAATGGGGGAAGGAGGGCTCAAGGGGCAATAGTACAAGGGCCAGTCATTTCAAAGTGTCCTAAGCCTCCTGGCTGCTGCTGCAATAGTGGTGGCGGGCGAAAGCTCTGGGCCCCTTTGAAATGCCACAGAAGTGCTCTTTGCCTCTCCGTGGCTACGTCTAGACTGGCCCCTTCTCCGGAAGAGGCATGCAAAGCAGGCAAGTCAGAATAGGGAAATCCGCGGGGGATTTAAATATCCCCCGCGGGATTTAAATAAACTTGCAAGTAGGAATAAGAGATCCTCCGGAAAAGGGCTTTATTCCGGAGGATCACGCCAGTCTAGACGCTCTTTTCCGGCTTTTCCCGAAGCCGGAAAAAAAGCGGCGGCCATGTTTATTTAAATCCTGCGGGGGATATTTAAATCCCCCACGGATTTCCCTATTCTGACTTGCCTGGGCCAGTCTAGACGTAGCCCATGTGTCTCTGAGGGCTGGAAGAGAGGACCCAGCGCTGCACTTGGAGCGATGCTGAGGGATGACTGCTCTTGGCTCCGTATCTTTCACCAAAAGCTCCGCCCCTTCCAGGGGCAAGGAGCTGGGCCTGCAGTGAATGTTGATCCTGCTGCACTCAAATACCCAGATTTCCACCTATAATTCATTTTGCTGGTGAAAAATCGCAGGCAAAATTTACGGGTTCCTTGTGCCTTGCAAGAAGAAATGCCAGATCGCAGCCTATCCCTGCATTGGACTGATGGCCTTTTCAAAGGCTCTTTTATTATTCCTACTGCCAGCCAGTTATATGAACCAACCACTGCCTCAGAAATAGGTCCATGAATGCTTGTCACAAAGCTGTTCCAGTCACTAAAGGGTTAGCAGGGAGGCTGCCTCCTCAGCAGTGGTTGATTGGTGGCCAGGCAACAGCTAGGGAAATACAAAGGCTGCAGGCCAGAAGGGAGGGAGAGCTGTCAGAGAGGCTAAGGAACCACAGAGAGTAGGGTTCTTACCAGTGCTCTGGTGGGAAGCTATCCAGGTAACTGGGCCTCTAGAAGAAGCGAATCAGAGTGTAAGGATTTAGTTCCAAATTCTTCATACGGGGTTCCTGGATTAATGTTACTGTTTCTTCTGTGTGGGCAAGT